TTGATATTTCCAGACTTGTCCCGACCATTAAGTTGGCCATATGCTTGGTTGTTTTTGTTCTCTAATTGCTGTCTGTCTGTCTTTAGTTTTCTTGGCATAGTACTCCTTTCAGAATTTCTTGAAGAGCTGGTCTGGAGTAGGTAAATTATTTCAGGCTTTGTTTATCTGAGAACGTTTTTATCTTCTTTTCACATATGAAGGATAATCTTGCTGGGTATGGTATTCTTGGTTGAAATTGTTTTTCACTTAACATTTTTAATATATCTCCCCATTCCTTCCTTGCTTGCATTGTATCTGATGAGAGGTCGGGTGTTATTCTGATGGGATAGCCTTTGTAAATGAGTTGTTGTTTCTCTCTCGCCAATCATAGTATCTTGTCTTTGTCTATGGTTTGGGCCAATCTAGCTATGATGTGCCATGGAGAGGATCTTCTTGGACTGATTCTACTTGGGGTTCTTTGTATTTCTTGGTCTGGATGTTTGAATGCCTCTCTAGACTTGGAAAGTTTTCTTCCGGAATTTCATGGAATAGATGATCAATGTCCTTACTAGTTTCTTCACCTTCTGGTATGCCAATTATTCAGATGTTTAGATGTTTCACGGTAGCTAGTATTTCTCGTATAGTATCCTCAGTTTTCTTAGCTGTTTTCTCAGTATTTTTAATAATTTTTTCTAGACCATTGATTTTGTCTTCTACTTCCGAGATCCGATCTTCTGCTTGATCTAACCTGCTTTTAATACTTTTTTTTTTCCTAAGAATTTTTATTTTATTTATTATTATTATTACTATGGGGTTTTTTGGTGTGCATTTTCTTTTTTTTTTATTTATTAATTCACTTTACACCATCACAACACACAAATGAATTTTCCATCCAAAATACACTGTGCATTGTCTCAATCAAGTACATCCACATATATGTTCTCAGCAAATAATTTTCCAATTCTTACGTCCTGCATACCTTGCCCTTTGTCTTGCCATCCCTGATTCCCCATCCCCCACCCTCTGCTATGTCCCA